GAGAAATGAAGAACATCACGGTCATCCGGTCGTCAAATCGATTTATTATTAAAACATATTATTTTCTATTATTTTTTAAAATATTTTAATGTTTAAATATTTAGATTATTATTTTCGTATAGTAGTCAAACTAAGTGAAAGTAATAAAGAAATTGACTCAGCATACTGAAGGTAATAACAGTTTTTTTTTTTTATTTTGATATCTTCAAAATTCAAAAAATAAAACGGCATTTGCTGTAGAAAATCATAATATAAAAAATACCTGAATATGGTAGGAAATGTGCTAAATTATCTAAAAAGTGTGAATTAAAAGGAACTGAAAAAGCGAAATAAAAAACATTGTATTCAAATGTTGAAAAATCATTGTATTAAATTTGAATTTAATTTCAACGATATGATTTTACTATACGACTTATTGCAGAGAAGAGAAAAAAGAGAAGAGAAAGAGAGAGAGAAATATATCATGATCATTTTCATAAACAATATTTTATACTGACAATAAATATATAGATTATTTTTTTAATTTAAAAAGTAAAATTTATTAGAATAAAGGCAATTGTTCTATTATCAAATTCATTTATTTTCTCTTAATTCTGTATCTTAATAAATTTTTATTAAAAATTTTTGTACTTAAAATATTCAAAATAAACTTAAATTTCAGAAATTTCCATATTCATATTTCAATTCCAATTCCTCATTTGTTAATAGTAATCCAAGAGAATTGAATAATTCTTCGTCATCATCCTCTTCTACATTATTGAATCCTACACCTCTAGCAAGAGTATAAATCTGAAAGACGTTTATGAACCTTTATGAAAACTCAAATGAAAATTTATATCGTAAAGCGGTTCGCTTTAAGATATAAATTTTTCCAATATCCATTCATTAAACGATATGAAATCTAAGCTTTGTCAATAAGCTTAATATTGATACAATGAAAATATTAAAATTTTTCTAACATCTTTGCACACTATTTTTGTTAGGTATATTCATTTCATAAATCAATTTCTTAAAAATGTAACGTAAATAAAATGCTTTGAAAACACTGATTACACTTTGGTCCATGAGTTGTAAAATTATGTAGTTCGCAAGAAAAAGGAGCAATTTTTACATTAGGTCATAAACTAACAAATTCAACATATTGAGCAGAAGCATTGTCTATAAGTACAATCATTTTAAATGCAAGATTTTCCTTTTTTCAGTATTTTCTTGATGTAGGCAAAAAATAATCTACAAACTAGTCACGAAATATTTCTCTAACGTCCATGCTTTCCGAAGCGACTTACAGATTATTGGGAGCGAAGATTTTGCCATATTTTTTAAAGTTCGAATCTTTTCATTACGAAAAATTAGCAAGAGTTTCTTCTTGTCCCCGTTTTTGCAATTCTACAAAGAAGCAGAGTGATTCGATCTTTTAATGCTGGAAGCCAGCAACAGATTGTTTTTTATATAGATATATGTTCGAGATGATATACGTTTCCAATACAATACTGTTTCATTAATACTTGTTTCGGATTGTATCTTCCCTTATCAACTATCTTCCTTAATCCAGCCCAAAAAACTCCAGTTGTTTCTGTATCGGCATTAGCAATTTCGCCGTAAATTTTAATGTTCTTAAATTCAAAACATTTTTGAAGATGGTGAAACCAGCCTTTTGATGGCGAAAAATTTTTAGCTTTCGGTGCCGATACAGCAGCAAGATTCGTTATTCTTGTCTTGAATTTCTGCGACAATATCGACAACACTCGCTGAGGAACATACTCCACGCGATCGTCCACTATGCTGTAGTCAGTTTCATCAACAGAGGCAGTTTCTCGTAGATCATGGCAACGTCACAGCATTTCATCTAATTAAACGTTCTGTTCTTCATCTGCCGCATGAATCAAGTCCAAAATAAGCTTCTTCCGATAATGACGTTTGAACGAATGAATAATACCGTGATCCAGCGGTTACGCTACAGCAGTGGCATTCGGCGGTAGAGTAAACACTTTAATCGCTTGTAGTCTTTCAATTTTTTCCATGAGCAGGACAGTTGTCAACAACGAATGCTACGTTCCTTTTTCATTTAACAAATTGGGAGTCGTATTTGTGAAGAATTTTCTCCAAAATTTCGGAAGACATCCAACTTTTCGAATTTGCCTTATGTATGACGGATAAACTCTTCACTCTCTTGAAACATCGGGGCTGTCGACATTTTCCTATAACTACAGCCTGGACTCCACATTACCGGAATCCGCGACGTAATCGTAAAACTGAAAGCCGAACTGACGAAACTTTCAGTTTTGTAACGTTCAGTTGGACAGAAACAAGACTGAAAGCAGAATCGAAAATTATTTAACTTTTCCGTTTTTGTTCCGCGCTTCTGTCGTACTGCAACCAATAAAAACGCAAGAATTTGTGACGCGTAGTCACGTGCATTAGTCACGTGTAGTTTGATTGTCGTAATGGCAGAAAGTGTAGTGAAAACGATGAGGAAACAAATAGATTTGGAATTCTTCATCGAAGAAGTTAGAAAATACAGATGTTTGTCCAAAAAAAATGTAAATAATTCAAAGATTATTAACAATGAAATTGTTAATAAATGCAGAGAAATCATGGCAAAATCCGTAGCGTCGTCCATGTTTGACTCTACGACAATTACAGAACTGATCAACGGATGGCGCATTTCTAGTGGTGTCAAGTTAAAACGAAAACATAACTGAAACGAAAACTCTGTATGTTTCAGTTCTGTTTCTGAGTTTCTGTGTTAAGGTAACGTGGAGTCCAGGCTTAAGGGCTTCAGCTTTTTAGAGCCATCGGAGTTTGCTCTGAGAAAGATTGTAATTCTCAGCTTTGATTTGCTTCCATCGTGGCAAATCTTGTTTTTAAACATAGCAAATTTCTCCGAAAGCAATTTGTAGGAAAGTCCTGTTTCATCAAGTTTAAAAATGTTTTCCGGTTTATACGATTTCTCAATCTCTTTTAAAGCTGTCTCTTCCTACTTCCAACTGAGGTCATATCGACAAATTCTTTTTCTCCGCACAGCTTTTTAAAAGTCACGCCGTGGCGACCTTTAAATCTCTCTAACCATCCATCACTGACACTAAAATTGGTTTCTATTCCAAGTATCTTAGCGATTTCCATCGCTTTTTGTTTCAGTGTCGGTTCTGAAACAGCAAGATTCGATGAACGAATTTGCTTTAGTCAACGTACCAGAGCATTTTCGACATTTTTGTACGGCAACTTTTTCTGGCGTTTTCGAGACAGCCGCGACGAAGACCGAAGAGAAAGTTTCTTAATTTTCTCTTTTTACTTCAGGATTTCCACTAATGTTGTTCTTAGAAGGTTTTTTTGTTTTGCAAATTCGGGTTGCAAAGTTTTATTACATTCGTATTTTCCTTCATTTATATTATTTTTATTACAGAAGTTCGTATTTTCCTTCAGCGTAAGCGTTGTTAGGTTTCGACTACTCATTTCTAACAGAAATGTGAAACCGTACTGCAAATAACGTGTGAATGAAAGGCGAGAAAACGCAAAATCGGATTCTGCTGTGACGTTAAGCTGTGTAATGTGAACTCATTTTTTAAGAAGGGGAGTCGATTTACCAGACTTCTAAACGAGTGTGGAACATAAAAAGTATGTCGATCTATCCTATGGTGACGAGTAAACCAGAGCTTTTTTTTTAATAGTAATGCCTATGTAAGTTCGATGGGACCACAGAAAACTGACTACTTAAACGACGGTGTCTATTTATATATATGACGACTTATGCGGACTCGACTGTATGTAGTTGATAGACATGTTTAATCCATGTTGCTAGACGCTTTTCCATTATCTCCATTACATGTTGTTAGTTTCGCTTTAAATTGTCCTAGCCTAGTTTTAGCATTGGCTTTCAAATCCGGGGCTTTCCTAACGATTGTGTAAACTGTAGTCGGAAAACGGAAATGCTAAAAGCAGGAAAATTATCAATTACACTTTCTCCTTTCTTCTTTCGGTTAATTATGTCTATTTTAACATCTAGACCGTAAGAAGCACGTTTCCTTTTTCGGAACTCCATCATCATGTTTGCTACGCTTCGTTGATATAATTTCTATTAGAAAATCAAAAAACGAAAGAGAAAACCAACCAGTATCGAAACCGAAACGACAAACACATACGCAATAATGCATCTTGTGTATGGTGATATGTATCAACGCGCATGTACTGTACAGTACGTGGTGTAAGAGGAAGTAAGTACTGTACATAGTTACCATCCCTCGGGGAAACCTCGTAACTGCGGAGAATTTTTAGGTAGCTTATCACAGTTTTTTGACCACGTAACTACGGTGACTCTGATAATGAATAGGCCTACTCTTTAAACAAGAATCTCCTCTAAGATTATTTTCTATTCATTGAACTTTCTTATTAGACGAATAAGCTTTATTATTCCCACTATGAAAAAGCAATGATCAAAAATTATTCATTTCATTTTGCACTTTAAATGCAGTAAAGAAAACAAAATTATTTAAGAAATAAATTAAAATAGATAATTAAATAGTTAAGCAGAATATTAAGTAATTGCAATATGCTTTTTTAATTAAATTATTTATCTCATTAAGTAAACTAATTAGTTATTTTTGAGTTTTGAGATTTTCCACTAAAATGTGAGCCTGTTGATTCTATAGTTTTATTTAAATTTAATAATACAGTTTATTTTCTATCTAAAATTGAAAGTTTTTAGCGTTTATATTTACCTAAAAATTCTATTAATTCTGTGAACATTTTGCAAATTCTAAAATTTTAAAAAAAATTTTAAAGTAATATTTAATTTACTTTAATAATATTGTAATGTAATGTTTAAAAATCATTATTAAAAATAGATATTTGAGAGAAAACTTTTATTTTCACAGCTTAAATACATAAATATAACGAACTTTTTACTGTTCATGATTTACAGATTCAGATTCGTGAAACATTTACATTTACCATTAATTTTTAAACTTTTATACATCACATTATTTTTTCTTAAGGTTAAATAATAATAAAAAATATTTAAATTTCACATTAAAGTTTTTTTTTTTTAAGAGCTAAAATCAACAGCTTATATCTCCACATTTTCCATTACTTCGTTCTCTTTACTTCTATTATAATTTTTGCTTAAAGCAGACCTACTACATACATTTTCATCGATTGTGTGAGTGGTATTATTCGTTTCCGTTGTCTGTCGGATTATTATTTTTCGCCAGTTTGAACTGCAGATGCGATTTAATGATTGAATCAAATTCCGATTAAAAGATAAATAAATCCATGGATTAGTAGAGCTATTTAAGCTTGCCAGAAGCATAAGTATTGTGACTGTTGGACCTAAAAAATAATAAATAATAAATAAAATTTCAGTTTGGTATTTAATTTTTTATAATTTATATTAACTGAATTCTTTTTGAACACAATTCTAGAGTAAAATGTAATAAAATAAAAATACTTTTCCGTAAAAGAGTTCGAAATTCCTTTTATATTATTCGTGATAAAAAGCTTAAAATAACTTTTAAGATATTTTTAAAAAGAAAATAGTATTATAGAATTCTCTTGTTATATAATATGTTTGTCTTATATAACAAAACGTAATACTAAAGTGATATATAACAAAAGTTGATAAAAATAGTTTTAAAACGCAAGGATTTTCATGCATTATAAAACTATTTTCATTCACGTTATCAAACAGCTATATTTATTATAGGTTCCAACCAAAGAAAAACTTTCTAAGAAAAACATTAATATTTGACACTATAAAATTGATTTTTCTGTGTAAATTTTAAAATATTTTCATCTGACAATTAAATCACACAAAATTACAAAAACATAAGAGATTTCAAACGATCCATCGACAATTATTTTACATAACAAAATACACTATATGCGAAGATGCGAAAATATACTAATTTATTATATTTTGTCGAATAACAATTTTTATAAAGTAATATGAATATTTTATACATTAGAAAATAGTTTGTATGAAAACTTAAATAAAATAAATATTTTATAAACCTAGAAAAGTAGAGACAAATTATCGTTACTTTATCCAATTTAAGAGTAAACGTATTTTGCAATTTAAAAATACATCATCATTTATAATTCATGGCTTTACTATGAATAAAAAATTGCTATTATGAATATATAAACTGACTGGTAAATATTTAATTTTTAATCAGAATTTATTAATTTTATTATAATTTTTTTCATTACTTTTGATTTGTTGTATCTAATTTTTTCATCGTTCCTTTTGCTATAATTAGTTACTATTCTATTTAAAAATTGGAAAAAAATTTTAAATATATCTACATTCATAATTGTTTACTAATTATTAATATAATAAATATAAATACAGCTTTTTTACAAAGAAAAATTTTTTGTTTCAGTCATTTTTTCGTTGTTCGCGCCATCAGTAGTTCATTAAAAACATAAATACTCACGGAGACGACCTTCTTTTTTAGGCTACTGCCTCCGTAGTTAAAATGCAAAAAATGATAAAAGCGTCCTTTGGTGTTCTTGCCACAATCAATGATACATTTTAAATAAAAATAATAAGTTTACATGGCCAACGATTATTTAATATTAATATAATAAATATAAATACAACTTTTTTACAAAGAAATGGTGATGGTGCGAACAACGAAAAAATGACTGAAACAAAGAATTTTTCTTTGTAAACAAGTTGTATTTATATTTATTATATTAATATTAAATAATCGTTGGCCATGTAAACTTATTATTTTTGTTTACTAATTGTTTTCTATTCATCAATCTGTTTTAACATGCGTGACACCACGGCATTTTCCAGGATCGGATCGTTGGAATACGTCAATCAACATAAGCAATCTACCAAGAGGGAATGACTTCCGACAGAGACTCCTATTTAGGTGTTAGACACCCGAAGAAAACCCGGAAAGCTCCACGTGACTAACCACTGGGTTAGTCACGTGGAGCAAGAAACAAAAGTACTTTCCCGTTTTAACGCAACATTTACTGTTTAGCATTTGTAGCCACTCCGTCATGATTTCTCTCGTCATCCAGATCTACGTGTTTGATTTCTATTCATTTTATCAAATTTTATAATGTCTATATTCTCAAAACATTTTGGATATTGCAGCTTTTTCAACTATCAGGGAGTTTTCGCTTTCTCCACTCACACTTGCGTCTAACACAACTGTTAGAGTTGTTCATTTGTTAATTTGTTGCCAAAACACGATTTAATCCTTGATACATAAAATTTTATTTGGGAGAGCGTCCTGTTTTGTCTGCGTTTAAAATATTAATATTATGTGCAGAATAGCTAGTGATAATAGATGAAAGCTTAGCCTTCCACTGTATTACGTCAAATCCCGATGATTTTCCACGAAAGTGAAATTTCATTCCACGCCACTTTCATTTGAGGCTTTGAAGCCCACGGCACTTAATTCTGATGCAAGTTATAAAGTGTTGACTGATATAGAAAAATTCTGATTTCTGATTCTGCAAAACCATTCTATGACCATTTTGTGAATAACAGCGCTATTCCTATCGTACAACTATCGGATTTTCTATTCATTATTATTACGGCGCCAATAGCTACATCTTGTTCAGCACTTACTTTTTTTCAATCTTAAACACTACTAATTTTTTCATTTCGTACTTTTTCGTTTGTAATACGCAATAATTTCGATTTATGTAGCATCATTTCGACCTTCATAAATTCTATTTTCAACACACCAAAAAAAAAAAAATATATATATATATATATAGGCATATCCTGTCTTCACCACAGATTAAGAATAGACAAGAGTGTAGTTATGGACAATCGTAATCAAGTAAAAATTTTTCTAAATAGCCAATTAGCGATAGAGATAGTTGCATTTATCGGTCGAACACGTCATTAGTAAGAAAACTAAGATGTATGACTGGTCCCTACTATTGGTCGCGGATCCGTTCGGTGATCAATCCAGAGCATAGCAGAACATATTAGTGCATTGAAAATTATTGTTTCTGTTCATTACGGTTGTAAGGTGCACTTTCTACTTGCTGATGTTAACACAGATACTAAGCAAACCTCTACAGCTGCAAGTTAAGTCAACGTAGAAATTTTACAGTAGTAATAAAATTGTACAGTCAAAGAGATTTTAACTCAACGAGAAATACATTATTGGAATTTTTGCATATATTTGAATGCAAGAAACCCTAAAGGAAGCAATCGACTCGATCTATCGTGTTCAGAGATCTAGGCATTCACAACAGTAGTGCATTTCACGTGTCTGTGCCTATAATGAAGAGTGTTCACTTAAGAACAGTCACTTATAATGCCATTACACGCCTTTTTACTCTGAACCAAGAAAATTGTCCGTTATGGAGAGTGTAAGCTTTAGCGAGGTGTCCGTTAAGAGAGTGTTCAGTGTATAATGAAATTAAGCAAAACAATAATAGATTATTTTGCCAGATATTTTCTTGTGTAATTTAGCACAGGGAAAGAAAGTTTTTAATTATTTTTATTCCATAAGAGATGCAGAGTTTAGACAGTAATATCAAAAACTAAATATCTAGATTTTGAATTTTTTGGATTAGCAACATGTTTTAATTAGACAATTATTGTTTATTATCTACTTAGAGCAAAAGACAAACAATTTCATTAACAGTAGTTTCACAACACAGATATAAAACAAAATCTCATGCGTTAATTTTTAATACAAACCATGTTGGTCAGTGGTATACAATTTATGAGTCCTGACTCCCGATGAAGTTGCAGACAAATTTCAAAAGTAATAAAATATAATTAAAAAGTAGAAAAAAAAACAACCGTCCAAGCATCACGCTACACTATTGTTGTATAATTAAATATGTATAAAAAAATACCTAAAAATAAAATAATAATAAGCTTCAAGTCAAGATTCGCACCGTCAGAAATTTCTGCCTAAAAGAGGGGATCGCTGGTAAAAAAAATGATGTAGACTATCTGCTTCAAAAGGTGTTTCATAAGATTGACAAGAGTTTTCAGTTTTGTAACTGTTAATTGGTGTTTACTCCCAACCTCAGATTATAATTATTGCAAATAAACTGCATGTAAACTGAAAACAGAAGAGAATATTCTAACATATTTCGAATAGTTGTTGAATATTAAAAGTTATTAAAAATATATTAAAATCAAAAAGACTTGAGAGATTTAAAATTGTTTCGAACGGTTTTCACAATTATTTACTGTTCAAATATTTAAAAAATTTTTCAAACAATCTGAAAATATATATTATACAAAATTATGGAAAACTATTCTACATAAAACTTCAATTACTATTACTGTGCAATTTTCAAAAACTATTTATTTTTCTATTATAAAAATTAAATTTGCATTTAAAATTTATAATTTTTATATAGCATATAAAAATAAAATGACGTTTAATGTCTTTAACAATAACAAATATTGGCTACATGATGACATGATATATAATTATGAATATAATGGCATCATTTCAAGGTCGTGCACACGACAGTGGTTTTGGAATTTAAACATTTGATAAGAATAATAAAAAAAAGTGTAGGCTATATAAACAATATTTGTTTGAATCCGTTTAGTTTCCGCTTAGTCTCTGTATGTAATGTACACTACCTTTATATTGTATAAATTAATAGATTATATATGCACCTTTATATTATGAAAAAATTTACCGTATTTTAGGATTTCATCCCCATTTCAGTGTAGAATATTTACGAAAAAGAATTGAGTGTATCTAAGTCATCTCGTGCCTTTTGCACTTATTCTTAAATTTGATTTTACTATATTTTGGTTTAAACAAAATAAAATTAGATTTAAAAAATATATATGCAATTCTAAAAATCTTCAAAAAGGAAGATACTTTAAAAAATAAAATCACTTCTATCTTTTTAACAGTCTTTTTTTTTCTTATAAAGGAAAATGTTTACTTACAGTATAAGTAAATCTTTTATTTTTTTAAAGTACCTTCCTTTTTGAAGGTTTTTAAGATTACGTATATATTTTAGATATTATTTACTCGATCTCTCGTAATACACAAGTAAAATTAGAATACACAATTATTTAGAAGTGATTTATATAAATAATTAAAATTTTCCAATAAAACAGTCTACATAATACATGCAAAAGCAGTACAGATATAACAAAAAGAAAATTACAATTAAAATACCAGTAACCATGAATACATCCAATTTGGGGAATTCATTAGCCTATGGGAGATCGCAAATTTACATAAAAGACACGGGGCAAGTTTATGAACTTTTTATTTTTGGAAAATTTGCATCTTATATAATGTGTACGCTTATATGATACTTTATTAAAATAAGTTATGAGAAATAATGCTTATTTTTAA